TGGTTCTAGCCAGGCGAGCCTGGAAAAATAATCAAAGAAAGAATTTTTCTTCTGGTCCTCTGGTAGTCACATTCTCTAGTCCACACTGCCTCTTTTGAATAATAAAAGTGCCTCCTGGGCACCGACCTTCCTCATCCCCAGAGCATAGAGCCAAAAGTGCTAACTCCATGTTACCGAGGAAGCCAACGCCTGATGCTGCTATAGGTGTTTGTACTCACTGTCTCTTCTACTCCTTGCCTTCAGAAAGCTCGCTTGCCCTGCCCCTCTGCTATAGCCCAGGGAGTCTGCAACCATGCCTGTGTTTTGGGGATGCCTCTGTTTTCAGAGACAAGTTATCCTAGTTCTGTTTCTTCCATGAGAAGAAAGCAAAAAAATAATGGGCCAGGGCTGCAGCAGGGTGAATGGAAGGTAGACTGAAGGCCTGAATTATCTAGGGCATTTTACGTGGTTGACATAGGGACTGGGGAAAGAAGAACAGAAATTGCAGCTATCTGTGTGTCCCAATTGTCTGACTCAGAACGACCACAGGCCCTGCTTGAAAGCGCCAGTGGCTGAAGGATCAATAACCCACTGCTTATACCCATTTTTGGCATATCAATTGGGTAATGTTGATAAGGGGTCAAGTAAAAAACAGGGACTATGTGGCTTGGAAACCAAAGAATGCCTAGGAACTGTATTCAGGGTGAAGCCCAACTCTGGCCCTGGGGCAGAAACTGCTGTTTATTTGGTCAGAGATGAGCAGAAACCTGTCATGATCTGTGCCCCAATTTGGGGTGATGACAGGCATCCTCGCAGTGCTTTGGTAATACTGTAGTTGATATTCTCTACGTACATTCCTATTTCAAGACTGTGCCAGGAGGTAGGATAAACCAAGTGGGATTGAACATTGAATATGAATTCCAGCATGTAAGGTCTTGTACCAAGTAGTTGATGAGAGCCAAGGATTGAATATTAGGATTGATGGGAAGTGATGTATTCCTTAATTTATTAATTCATTCACTAAATATTTATGGAGCATTTACTTGGGGCCAGGCACTAAGGGAAAGAGTTGGAAGACATTATCGGCCTCTAAGCAGATGAGAAAGGCAAACATTTGCATTAGAATATGGCAGGTACCAAGGAGAGGTTTGACACAGATCACTCTGGTAGCTCAGAGGAGCACATCTAAGCCAACCTTGGGTAAGAAGTGGATATGATGGTGGACTTCCTGGAGAAAGTGATGCCTAGGCTGGGTCTTACAGGGTAAGAATTGGTCATGTACAAAAAGTGGAGGAAGGGCATCCCAGGCAGAAAAATAGGGGCAGGATTCAGGGCAATGAGTTTCTGGAAGTATAAGCCGTTTATTTCATAGGCTGTAGGATTTCAATGTGAGTTGAAGCTGTTGAGAAAAAGCAAGTGTCAAATGAAGAAGGGCCTTGCATGCCATGCTAAGGTATTTTACCCCAAAGGCAGTGGGAAGCCCCTGAACAGTTTTAAGTAGAAGAGAGGTGTGACTGGATGTGAGTTTTAGAATCTCCTTCTGGGAGTGATAGGTATGAGGGCTGGGCAGCAGGTAAAGCAGGGAGCCCAGCATTTAGCATTGACCCCCTTGCCCTCCTACCTGTCTTTCTTATCCCTCTCTCTCAATAAAATCTATTCTCTAACTCTTTTCTGCCTTATCTAGTATGATTTCCTACCACTGTCTAATTTATTCAGGTTGACTCAACTTATCCAAACATACGCTCATTCCCATCTCTGTGCCTTGTTCATTCAGTAAACATTTAATAAGTGCTTATTATATACCAGCCATGGTTCCTGGCATGAAGAACCAAAGATGAATGAAACATGGAACCTACATTTAAGGAGCTCACAGACCAGTAGGGAGATACCCATGGAAGCACATTGTTCATATAGTATGGGATGATAATGGCCACGGAATGGATAAACATGGAGTACCATGGGCATAAAGAAAAGCGAGTCATGTCAGTGAGAGGCCCTCTTCTTTCTCTGCTAAATCCTGCCCATCCTTAGGCTTCTGCCTTCATTCTGTATAGAGGCAGGGCAATGTCTCTATACACTATACACCCATCACGTCTGTCTTCTAGTTAGAACTGTTCAGCTGCTTCCCACCGCGTTTGGGGTGAAACACGTCAGCATGGCATGCCAAGGCCCTTCTTTATCTGACAGGATAGTGTAATCGTTTGGAGCTTGGCCTCTGAAACCAGAAAAGATTTTAATCCTGGATCTGTCACTTATGAGACATGTGACCTTGGCCAGAAATTATTCATGCCTCAGTTTCTTCATCTGTAAAATGGGGCTGATGGCTGTATCGACTTCATAGGGTTATTTTGAAGATTAAGAAGTTACTATACATATAATTCTTTAGATTGTCCTTGGCATGTGAAAATTATTCAATAATTATTGACTATTTTTGTTCTCAGTTTTTATCCATTTTCTCAGCATTGATATCATGTCAAGAAACTTTAATTATTATTGTGTTACTTGCCCAGCTTTATATGTTGCCATATAATTTCTTTCAAGAATGATTATACAATAATCTTTGAAGGCAGCATACATTGTATATGTATCTGTACTCCTGAGAGACTCACAACTTTAGGTATGTCTTAGGGTGATCGGCCATCCCAACTTGCTCAGAATGTATGGGACTTCTAGTGTTAAAATCAGGGAAGTCCCAGACAAACTGGGACAAGTTGTCCATTCATATGCAGTGGGTCCTTCGGTTTTGCCTTCAGTTTTGCTTTTTTTTTTTTTTTTTTTAATCTCTTATTGGTCCCAAACTTAACTTTCAAATAAGCTTGCTTTGGCTTTGCCACAAATATTTATTTATTGTCTAGAAAACATAAGGTCAAAACCTCTGGGTTTCTTTGGGGTTGCCTGAAATTCCCTAGGGTTTAAAGTAGAAAATATGAGGGATTTCTGAAAAAAACTCTCCCATCTGCTCTCGGTATATTTACTAGAAATTGTGGACAACCCCATAAAAGCCTTTCTCAACCTGGCGCACAGCCAGGAGGTCTTTCCTGCCCATCCTTTCCCATCTCTCTTGTCATTTCCATCACGATTCTGAGTACTTTCTTCATTTGCTTTTCAGAATCAACGTACCCTTGGTTGAGTCAGTGGCAAAGCCTCTTTCCTCACACAAGGATCATGTGTTTCCATGAATGCCCTAAGTGGGGCCAAGGGATTTTTCCTCCTTTTCAAGTCCCACCACCACCCTATTCACCTGCACTGAGACAGCATTTGCCCTAGGCCATTGTTTTTCAGACAGCATCCCTTAAGGACCCACTGGGGCCTCTAAGGATTTCTGAAAACGATGACACGGGTTTACTGAAGGCTTGCCCGTCTTCCTCAGTACAACCGAGAGTCTGTGTCAACAGCCTCCGAAAGTTTCCACCCCAGTGCATTAGTTCCCTGGGGCTGCTGTAACAAAGCAGCACAAATTGGGTAGCTTAAACAACAGAAATTTATTGTCTCTCAGTTCTGGAGGCTAGAAGTCCAAGATCGAAGTGTCAACAGGATTGGTTCTTTCTGAGGGATATGTGGGAGAATCTGTTCCATGCCTCTCTTAACTCTAGTGGTTTGCTGGCAATGTTTATCATTCCTTGGCTGGTAGATACATCCCCTGATCTCTGCTTCATCTTCACATGGCATTCTTTTTGTAAGGACACCAGTCGTGTTAGATTAGGAGCCCATTCTACTCCAGTAGGACTTCATCTGAACTAATTACATCTGCAATGACTTGGTTTCCCAAAAAGGTCACATTCTGAGGTTCTGGAGGTTAGGACTACAACATGGGAGTTTTCAGGGTTGGGGGCAGGGAGTACAATTCAATCTTTAATGCCCAGATCTTCAGGTGAGTCCAAAAAAAAAAGACAAAAACACCCAGAAAACAAAACAGAACAAAAAATGAAAACTCCATGGACACTAAAGGCCACATCTCCACGGGCAAAGTCATTGCTCATAAATCCATTTCAGTTCTCTCTCACTTTGCATTTGATACTTTCCTGCTGCCAGATTTGCATCCTCACCAGTAACCACTTGTTTACCACTCTATAGGGCATTGTATGACTGTAGGGATATTAAGAAATATGATAGACACTTGAGTCACCAGTTCTAAATCAGGGAATAGCAAATCTTTTTTAGGGGAAGCCTGCTGAGGAAAAGTTGAATCCATGGCATATCTTTTACAAAGGCAGTGACTTCCATCCTGATGAATAATAATTACAAGCTGGTTGCCTTTTTAAATGCTCTAGAGAATACCATGGTGTGTACAGACAGGGATTGGAGGAGTGTGTGTGTGTGCGTGTGTACCAATGTGCGTGTGCAGGCAGGAACAGGATAAAATCACCAGGCTCCTCCCCAGCCTTCCTGCAAACATTAAGCCTTCACTGGGTGCGCAGAGAATAGCCTGCCTCTCCTCTCTCTGGGACTGTGGCTGCTTCCTTCTGTCGGCTCCCTGGACTTGCTGACCCCTTCCCCTGCAAAGAGATAGCTCTGTTCCAAAAGATAACCACCAGTAGTTACAGGGAACTTGGCGGTGGGGGGAGTCAAACAAGTCTCCCAGTTATTGTTTCCCGGGTGTTCGCACATAGAAACACAGACGATCTTTGTGGATGAGGTATTTCTGACTCTGGCAGTTACAGCCTGAGATGTGAAGGCAGTGATGGATCATCGCAAGGGTGGGGAGTCTCAGTGCATGGGGACGGGGGTTCTCGCATGCCTCCTCGCTTCTTTCCAGGGACACCCCACCTCTGAGAAATCCCAGGGACGGAGGAGGCACCTAGCTAGTGCCCACTTACGCCAAGCTGCCAGGCAGGCTGCTAGCTTGCTGAGAAGCGGCAGGCGAGCCTGGCACTCAGCTCCTCCGTGCCGGATCAGGGAGCTGTGGGCTCAGCACCTACGCCCTGCACTCCAGCTCTGGGCAGCCCCGGGTGGGCTGGGGGAAGGCGCGAAGCTCGGTCAGTGCCTGCAAGTTGACTTTCCCTCACTGTTGCTGCTGGCAGAATACCTACACCAATGCGGACAAGCTCCTAGAAGCTGCAGAGCAGCTGGCTCAGACCGGGGAATGTGACCCCGAGGAGATCTACAAGGCAGCACGACACCTGGAGGTACGCATCCAGGACTTTGTGCGCAGGGTGGAACAGCGGAAGCTTCTCCTGGACATGTCTGTCTCCTTCCACACACACACCAAAGAGGTAAGGCAAGCTGTGGGAAGGGAGCCTTGGCTGGTATGCACAGAGGCCTGGGTGGTCTTGGGGATACTAGCCTCCTGACAGTGATGATGCTAATGATTTGCTCCTGATGACCTGTAGTTAGGTCTCAACCAGAATGGAACAGACTTTTTCCCTTCTCATCTCTAGTGAGGAGGGGGCCACAGAGGCAGGTCGCTGAGGGAGTCTGCTAGAGCATTCAGTCCGCAGCTGGAGAAATCTGGGGATCCCTGGTGTAGAAATAGTCGTGGCAAGAGGAAATGTAAAATCACAGACTCCCTTCCCATCCTGGACCCACTTTCCCTTGGTTGCTGTTTCCTGGCAGAACTCAGTCCTGCAGAACTTTGATCATCTTCGCTACCAGCAAGAAGCATACAGAGTTTACAAATGTGTTCTGTGTTTTTATCTTTCTAAAAAAACAGAGGATTAAATTCTTCTTAATGGGGTCTGCCAGAGGGTAGTGATGTTAAAGTGAGTTGGTTCTCAACTTGCCTGATGGTGGAGTGGCGGCCAGTGAAGGAAGGGGGACTGAGGTACCCTTCATGCAGGAGGAAGCCAGCTGGGCTTAAATCTGGGCCCGAATCATTCACAGAGTGGAGACGGGAGGATGGATTAGGTTACACTGTTGGCAGGGCAGAGGGGCTCATAGAGAGGAGGAGGGTTGCAAACCTGCAATTGCTTTTCATTTCTGATTAACATGGGGCACTCTGAAATTGAGTAAGTAGCCAGCAAGGAGGCATATTTAGCATCTTCTATAATAACACCCTTGGCAGATGAACTCATTAGGTGTATGCATGCTTGTGTTCCCCCAGGTATTCATTTTAATGGAGTATTAATTAAAGTTTGATTGCTTCTCAGGAAAAAAAAAATTAACCCTACTTAATTAAGTTGATTTTTGATATTTGAATTGCATTAAGAAGCCTGGTTGTTACTACTTCACAGGCTTTTCTGACACTTGGTGGGAATGAATGCAAATCATTGCAGTGCCTATCAGAGAAAAACATGAAAAGATAATGTTTTCTAAACCGAGATTCCCCAGGCAGATGAAGGGCTGGCGAGCTCCCTGAAGATGGCTCTGCTTCCTCTCTGTGGGACCCACAGCCACTCTCTGATGAGTGTCTGTAAAGCAAGGGGATTAGCTTTAATCCAGGTTTTCCTGCCTGGTTGTCTGCTTGCGTGTGGTTCACCCAATTCTTAATAATGGTTTCAGAAACCAAAGGCTTGTGTATTCTCTTTTAATTATGAGCCTGTGGGTGATGGAATGGAGCATGAATGAACAGGAGTCATGTTCCCTATGAGGGCTGCGGGGGTGCTCGCTGCCCAGGGAGGTGATGGATGAGGTTAGTTTAGCTATATCTCCCACGTACCGTGCATGGAGCCAGAAGGCTGAGATTCTAGTCCAGATTCTGCTGCTATAGAACCATGTCAGCTTGTGTACATCACTGTGTCCCTGGTCCTGGGACCATCGCTAAAATTGTGCAGGTGGATTCAGTGGCCCTGAGACCCCTTATAGTTCTTATGTTCAAGATCCTTTTTCTTCTTCTCTCTTCTTTATTTGATGGTGATAATAACAATAATAAATAAGAGTAATTAAGTCTGAAGTAATACAGGTGACTTACCTGACCTAAGATGTGGTTCATTGTAAGCACTCAATGTATAGTAGGTAGTATTTTTTTTTTAATTGGGTACCTACTCCTTGCCAGACACATGGAATTGTCATGATAATCTTATGATTAGATTTTCTTAAACATATTTTCAAATGGGGAAACTCAGGGTCACAAAAGAGACTGTCTACACGTGATGGAGCTTCTCACCCAGCAGAGACTTCACCTGTCTTCCTGAAGACTGCTCGTGCTTGCCTCTGCTGTTCCACACTCTCTCTTCCTGTTTTCCTCTGGCATCTCCTCCCCTCCTCTGCTCTTCTTCCTTCTCCTTTCTCTTCTTTTTCCTCTGTACATTTTCAACCCTCAGAGCAGGGCCTTGATGGGGAGGGTAGATCTTAGCTGAGAAATGCAAAGTGTTGCCAGGTTGGGGGTGTGGGCTCAGATGCTGATAAATACTGTCATAGATCCTTCCTGCCTAGTTATAGCTAATTTCTTCCTCCTTCCTTTTTTTTGTTTTAAGTAGGCTCCATGCCAGTGTAGAGCCCGTCGTGGGGCTTGAACTCACAACCCTGAGACCAAGACCTGAGCTGAGATCAAGAGTCACTTAACCGACTGAGCCACACAGGCGCCCCTTCTCCTTCCTTTTCTTTCTTCCTCTCTATCTGCATAGAGTCGTTTGCTGCAGAGTTTTTGCATTAATGCCACTGTGTAATAGAATGTTGTTGTAAGATATAATTTTGAAGGAATTAGATAGAGCCGCCTGTACAGATTTCTGAGCAGGAACTGAACATCCATCTTCATAAATGATTTAACCTAGGCTTCCCATGACTCCCCAGGCTGAAGTTCATAATTTTACTTTTTCCCACTTCCTACATCAAAAGATTTACTCTAATTAGGATCAGAGAGGAAACAGGAGGAAGATAGGAGAAAGACACCCTCCAGGCCCATTTCGTCTACAGGTTGAAGAGTCTGTTTAATCCTTTTGGCCCTGCCTCATGACTTCTTGGTGACCATGGGAGTCTGGAAGGTTAAAACCTTCTAACCATTTTATTGCAGTGTTCTTCATAATTTGAATAATTAGAAACTATCTAAATAGTCCATGTTGAGTGATTCATTAAACTAATCACAGTGCATCTAGCTAGCGAAATATTATACAGTCATAAAAATCACATTGTCAAAGATCATGAATAGCATGAGAAAGGGCTTGTAGTATAATACATAAAACACTGTATATCCAGCATGACCACAATTTTGATACACACGTAGAATGAAGACTAGAAAGAAGTATACAAAGAAGTTAAATGTATGGGTGATTTAATTTTCTTTTGCATTCTTTTGTTTTATAATTTTCCTTCAATGATATGTTTGATTGAAAATCCATAACAATCCCAATTATGTTATTTTACAAAAATAAAATTTCTCATCCCAGTTGGAGAGAAGAGCTACACTATAAAGAGAGATGACAAACCTGTGTCGGGACCTGCTTATGTTTGCAGAGCCTCAGCTATTCGTATATATTGTGCTGAACTTTCAAATAGCTTCTTTTTGCCTGGGGACAGGAAGGCAGCTGACATTTTGCTGGTCTCGAGAGCTAGGGAGGATGTAGGGAGAGGGATTTACCCAAGTCCTCATTTTCTTTGTCCAGGGAGAAGGCATTTGTAGCAAGTGTCATCTGCTCCGCAGAGATTGTCCAAACAGAATTCTCTTTCCTTGCTGTGTTTCCATGGAAATGCTACAATTGCCTGGTTTTCAAAATATCCATTTTTAGATATTTTTGTAGTAATAATATGAGAGTCAAATTAACTAAAGAATGTGGCCAAGATAATCAACCTCAACTCTTTATTACACAGCTTAATTAAATGCCCGTTTCTCTTTGTTTCTGAACTTGTGAAATCATTCTTCCGTGCTATTTGAGGCTCAAAGAGGCACGCGCGCGTGCGCGCACACACACACACACACGTCCCACAAACACCTCAGACACTCACATGTACACATGTTCCTCTCCCCACCCATGGTAGAACCAAAACTAAGTCAGTCTTCCAAAGGGATGATGCTCTCAAGAAACAAGACTGCTTCAGCCTCTATTTCAATTGCCAAACTGTCACGGTGTTTGTTTAAGAAATAAAAGCTGGTAGTCGATGCCAAAGAAAAACTATCTCTTCAAAACGAGGGAAGCGTGGTTCACCCTGTGGAGCTGGACATCTGAGGGCAGTGGATTGTATCAACACAGTGCTCCACAGCTGTGCAGGTGGAACAGCCAATCAGCAGGGGAGAGCGGTAGACTACCTCTTTCCGTAACCGCTCATCCATAAGCCTCATTAGTTCTACAGACCTCCTAGTGTCTCCCTTCCTCGTCCCTCCCTGCCTGCCTTTTTCCATTACCTCTTTCTCTGCAGGCAAGATGGGCTCCATGGGCTGGCCCCTCCTGAACTCACTGGTTCACTCTTAGGACCAACTTTATGTAGTGCATTCAAAGCCTCCTTCAACTTGACCTCTGCTAAGGTTCTAGAACTTCTCAAATTAGGTCCATTGTTTGGATTCAAGTATTCAGGGCCACAGCCACATGTGTTCTCTGAGAGGAAGAACACATAAAGCCATCTAAGTGTATCCGTCCACATGGACCAAGTAATTATTGCCAACCAAAGAGCAGAGCCCTGAAGGAATGGGTCACGGTACAGGTGTGTTTGACCAAGAAGAGCATCTGGAAATGGCTGAAACATGAGAGTCATTCTGGAAGCAGTGGATTGAAGGGAAAGATGCAATGCTAATGTATTAGACTCTCCATAAGCAGAGGGTAAGAAGGTTTACCCTAGGGGAGAGAAACCAAAATGGAGAACAATAGGGAAAAAAAGCCACGTGGTTGCGGCTACCAATTACCTCACACACTCCATGATTTTATCTCGTTTTGGCAGTCATTGCTTGTGGTAGCTTGAAGGGACAGACCATCCTGACTGGGTCTCACTGGCTGCCTGATAATTCGTAAATTAGTAATAGGAGTGGCTCTCCGATGTGGATTCTTTTCAAAGCAATCCAGGCATGCTCTTCAGGGGTCAGTCAGATGGACACATACACAGAAGGAAGCCCATAGGACATTCAGATAAGAAAATTGCAGCCTAAGAAATGGAATATTGATCCTTACTCATAGTTTAGGGACACTAATGTTCCTTTCTGTCCACTTTATGTATGCCTCAGAGGTGCTGGTTCAAAAAAGTGCATTATGAGCCCGCAATTTAAATGGGCTGCTCCTCAGAGGTGACTGTGTACATGTGGCCCCATGGGATTGCAAGTGGCTCACAACTCAAGCTTTCTAAGTTGCAAATAGTGTCTTAACTTGGTGTCACAATTATCCTCAAACTGGTGCTAAAGTTTCTGGGCTTTGGATGTCTCAGTGTCTAAGCTGTGACTGCAGTGTTTCAGTTTAGACAGCCATTTCTTTGCTACCCTCTTCTTGACATCAGCCTTTGAAGAGAAACCATAGCAAGTTAGAGCTGGAAGGGATTTTAGAGACAAGCTGGAGAGCCCACACATACACGTGCATACACACACATACACTCACCAGTTTAATTATGAAGTAGTTGAAGTAAAGTAGTTTTTCCATGCTCAAGGAGTAGCCAGACAGGGGCAGAATCAAGAATTATCATCAGTAAATATCAATTCCATTCAAGAGCTCTTCTCCTTCTGTTTGTTTTGTAACAGAAGGAAAAATAGAGAAAGATGTCACTAACCCTTTGTCTTTGGTGCTGTAGTCCCCTTCCCTATCTCCAAGCCAAATTCTCTTTAATCACTAGCAATTTTATTTGACATTTTATCCTCTTGAAGGTAGACCAGCACTTCCTTTTCTTATCAGCCTGCTAACCACTGGGCTGAGCTGCATTGAGTATTGTCCTTCATCGTTTATCCCTTAGCTGATCTTCCTTAGCAGTAAGTAGGTTTGATTCTGCCTTAGGCAAGAGTTTGTTTATAATATAGTAGAATATGTGAACAGAAATGTGAGAGATCAGTTTCAATTCACTAGTCAAAGACTGTTTTGGGGGAGGACACATTTTTCTAAAGATACTGACTTCAGAGGTCAGAGTGTATCCTCAGATATCCCTAGTCTTTCCCTAGTCCCTTTGTTTATAACACTGATAACCTCATTTTTATCTGGTAATTTCTGTGGTCAATTTCTCTGCCCCTGCTATTTAGCTGCATGACCATCAGAAGGAGGGAGAGCCGTGAGGCACGGTGGATTTCCTCAGAAAAAAAATGATGCTTTCTTCCCTAGACGGACACCAGAGGTGTTCAAGTTTTATTAAGAATAAGGGAATGGGGTGCCTGGGTGGCTCATTCAGTTAAGTGTCCGACTCTTGATCTCAGCTCAGGTCTTGATCTCAGGGTCATGAGTTCAAGCCCCACACTGGGCTCCATTGGGAGCTGCTGGGTGTGGAGCAAAAAAAAAAAAAAAAAAGACCTCTAAACTATCAAGACATTAAAATAGCCTAAGGATGGTACTGAGAAGAAAATTATCTTAAATCAAATAAAATTCTCAAGATCCCTATAAGCCTCTTTTCTGTCTCTTATTCCTGTAACAGCAAGTGCCAGCCTTACCCTGATCAGTCTTCCATCTCAATGCCTGTCCTCCCTTAAGACATCAAGTTTCTTTTCTTTCTCTTACATGACTTGCTTGGTGTCCACAGTTTTTTTTTTGGCTGAGTCATTTTTTTTTTGAATTTTTTATTTTATTATGTTATGTTAATCACCATACATTACATCATTAGTTTTTGATGTAGTGTTCCATGATTCATTGTTTGCGTATAACACTCAGTGCTCCATGCAGTACGTGCCCTCCTTAATACCCATCACCAGGCTAACGCATCCCCCCACCCCCCTCCCCTCTAGAACCCTCAGTTTGTTTCTCAGAGTCCATCGTCTCTCATGGCTCATCTCCCCCTCCAATTTCCCCCCCCTTCATTTTTCCCTTCCTACTATCTTCTTTTTTTTTTTTTTAACATATAATGTATTGTTTGTTTCATAGGCACAGGTCTGTGATTCAACAGTCTTACACAATTCACAAAGCTCACCATAACACATAGCCTCCCCAGTGTCTATCACCCAGCCACCCCATCCCTCCCACCCCCACCACTCCAGCAACCCTCAGTTTGTTTCCTGAGATTAAGAATTTTTATCTCTCTTCACATCCTCTTTTCCTTTCCTTTCCTTTCCTTTCCTTTCCTTTCCTTTCCTTTCCTTTCCTTTCCTTTCCTTCCCTTTCCTTTCTTTTCCTTTCTTTCTTTCTTTCTTTTCTTTCTTTCTTTCTTTCTTTCTTTCTTTCTTTCTTTCTTTCTTTCTTTCTTTCTTTCTTTTTCTTTCTTTCTTTCTTCTTTCTTTCTACTTTCCTTCCTTCCTTTAGAAATATCTAGACTTTTCAGTCTCTAGGCTTTCCTTAGACATCCCAGGACAAAGCAGCAAAAACAGCAAAGAGAGGCCTAGCTCAACCTAGCATACTGAAGGACCAAATCCAGTGTTGATCTTTTACCAATTCTAGTGGTAAACACTTTACCAATTCTGCCTTCTAGTGGGAACTGGAGGCGCTTGCATCAAAAGTATCTTTTAAATATAATATCTATCACTTCCCACATGCTAGGCACAGTTTCTAAATGATATATATAGATACAGATATCTATATTGATAGAGATATAACTTGCTTATTTGTGTATATGTACACACAGACATACACACACGTGTCAACTTATTAATAATATTTACAACTCTGTGGGGGTAAACACTATTATTATCCCCACTCTACTGATAAGGAAAACTGAGGTGCAGAGAGGGTAGGTTATCTGCCCAAGGTTGTCTAGCTGATATGTGGTAGAACTTGGGGCTTAAAACTCTTAACCATTATGCTCTATTGCCTCTCTATAAAATAATTTATAAAATAATAAATAATTTTTCAGAGAACCCATTATCTTTTACCCAGGGACTTCAGCACCTGTAGAAAATGCTTTTGCTCTCTAGGCAAAATGAAATAACATGAAGCAACAGCAGCCAATATCCTGAACTTCCTGGTTTCAAACTGATTTGAAATAAATACGTTCATACATGTAGGAATATGTATCCCAGCTTCTATGGTCTGGAAAACTTGTTTTGTGTTTTTACAATAAAAAAAGGTTTTTTGTAAAGGAAATAAACTGAATTACAACTAGATTGTAAGCTGCTAAATGACAGGGACACTGAATAATAATAATTTGTATTCCTTATAGCAATCATCACAATGCCAAGGGTTTATTAATAATTCTATATGTTTACTTAAAGCATTAATAATAAGTAAGTAATTTAATTCCCATAATCTTTGATGAGCAGAGCAGATCTTATACCCATTTTGTAAATTATAAAACTGAGGCTCAGAGAGTTTCTCAAAGGTCATTGTTTATACCCCACCCCCTTATATGCTGTCTCTAAGGCTTGTTAATCTTGTTAACTCAATGTCTTCTGCCATATCTGGAGCCTTTCCCACCTAAAGAACAAAGAATAACTTGTCTGAAATCTGGAGACTATTTTTGTCACTATTATTTCTTTTCTTATCCCTAATTACAAAGGCCATACCTTGATTTATTTACCATACTGAGAACTAACTAGATGAAATAATATTCTTGAGGTGGATATTTATCCATGTTTTTAACATAGAAGACTTACAGAAATGTTAGAACCAGAAGGTAATTAACCTTTATTTTATTTAGTGCTTTCCTCAACCTATTTTACACATGAAGTCAGAGAGCCAAGGGTGGAGTGATTTACTCAAAGCCACGATGAGTTAAAAGAAAAGGAGCCAAAATCCACATCTGATTCTATCCATTTTCTCTCTGTACTGTTTTGGTTTTTTTTTTCCTGGTAGAGCGCTGAGCTTATCTTTCTGGCTAGCCAGGTGAAGATTCCTTATTTCTAAGCAAGCATCAAACTCATCTTTCCCTTCATCATTTTATGAGCATGCTCAGTAGGAGTATTAGGAGTAGAGCCCTGTGGCAGACCACTGGAGACCTAGTTTCAGTATGAGGAAGAGCTATCATTTCATGGGTTTTCAGTAATTCAGTCCAGCTCCTCATCATTTCCAGTGCTTATTCTGTTCAAAGCATTATACTTAGCACTTTTAAAGTTGCCTGACCAATAATATCACCCTGGCTGCATTTCAGTGCTTGACTATCATGGGGGAAATGGCTCATACTTACATTGAAATTAAGATAAGCTACATTTTTAGCATTCAACCTTCTAACCAACCTAGCAGCCCTGAAAAGAACAAAATAATTTAGCATAACACATATTTTTAAAATTAATCTTCATTTGGTTCTTATTGAGCATCCCATTCCTTTTTTGCATGTTTCCAAAATCATGATACATTTCTAGGAATCAGCATCTAGCAGCCTGGAGTGTGCAGAGCCCTCCTTTCTGAAAGATGAAATAATATATGTCCCTCACCAGTCCTCTGTTCTTCCTAGCCTCTCCAAGATGAGTGATCCCCCCTGCTCTTTGATTGCAAGTTTCCCTGAACCACAGGGAAGTTAAGCCAGAGGTGGTTCCCATCCTTAGGGAACGGAAACATTAATGGAGTGAACTTAGCAGAGATGAGCAATGAATATAAACATAGGTGTGCTGGTGAGAAGGACAGTCTAACATGTCACTGACTGGTGGAGGGTAGGTTGGATGACCCCTATCTGACTTTCTTGCCCTGGCCCCTGCCCTGACCTCTCCTGTCTGCCCTGAGTGGGGTCTCTGCTCTCTCCCCCACAGCTGTGGACATGGATGGAAGACCTTCAGAAGGAGATGCTGGAGGATGTTTGTGCGGACTCAGTGGATGCGGTCCAGGAACTGATCAAGCAGTTCCAGCAGCAGCAGACCGCCACTCTGGATGCCACGCTCAATGTCATCAAGGAAGGCGAAGACCTTATCCAGCAGCTCAGGTCAGCGCCTCCCTCCCTGGGGGAGCCCAGCGAGGCCAGGTCAGCATGGGCAGTGCTTTCCAGTGGGAAATGCCCTCGACTAGATGTGAGATAAGTCGTGTCCCGGTCTTGGTTCAGCCACAGCCGGCTTTGTGGTCCTGTGTGAGCTTCAGTCTCTCCCTCTGTCAGATATGAAAAAGCCTGGGCCATACCCAACTTGAGTTTAGGATGAAATAGTAAATGGGAAAGCTCTGGTGTTTCAAAGAATTACGTATGATTCATGATGTTGTTTAGCAATCAGTAAGTGACATAGACACAAAAATTAACAACATTAAACCGAAAATAAGTAACATCTTCATGAAGAATTATGGAACTTTTGGTTATGTGGAGAAATAGCCAGTATGGAATATAGTGTTCTTTGGCTTCTGATCTTGGGCTGAACCCTGAATGCTAGTGCCCCAGTTGGCAAAAATGGTTGGCTTTGGCCCCATGGGGATCTAGAGAATGTGTGTCATTATCTCACTCCGCTCTCCATTACCCACATATGACCTTTCCACCATTCCTTGCTGCCCAGAAAATACAACTCCCTCTGTATCAACCTAAACAAACATAACTAAGAAGGAAAATCCTGTTGAAAACCTTACATTCATTTAGAATCATCCACACCATTGCCTCCTTTCTGTTGGCATCAATATCTAGCTTCCTGTCCCTGTCAAGGGCATGGGCTCCTCAGATAAAGTGCCACGGGGCCTTGAGGAAGCCCTCAGCACCACCCCTGTGCCCAGGTGCTGTATAAATAGGACTTGATGATGCTAATGATGTCTGCCCACGGGGACTTGTTCTATCCTAAAATCACCGAGTGCTGGGACCTCTGCCCGCTCCGGACAGAAATAATCTCATCAGCAAGTCCCAGGCCAGCCCTGGGGCCTGAGGGAATTACTTGAATTGGAGAGGGTTTTTCACCACCCCCGTACCAGCTGTCCAATTAGACAAACAATGAGAACTTACCTTGAGATAGCCCTGGCACGTTTTTCTGTTGGAAATTAATTGTGTCAATTCTAAGCATGCACATGAGATGTTTTGGGTCCTCCTGTTGCATACTAACAAGACAGCCTCTTTCCCTTCTTCCCCCAGTTCATCTTTACTAATATGTAATACATGAATTTTGTCTGCCTATCTAGGAAACCCTACTGAAAAAAAATTCCAAATAGCAGGCAGTCTCTTAATCTCCCTGGCCCTCAGCTGTTTCATCTGTGTAATTAAGGAGGTCACTCCAAGAGCTCTGTCAGCTCTAGAATTTTGTGATGGTTTTGTGTTTTCTCTCCAAATACTGTTCACAAACTTGATGGGTTTCGTTCTGTGTGGGTTGGGTCTATGGGGATGACCCTTGCTCTCACCTGCCAACCTTGCATGATGCCTAAGGGCTGAGGGTTACTCTGTGATGGCGAAGGCCTGTTTCTACAACTTAAACGCCATGGATTTCAGAGAGGACCCTAGCTAGCTGTGTGACCAAGAACCACTGGTGACCATGTACGCCCCCACTAGCCTGACTCTAGCCCAGGCTCCCGTCCCTGATTTCAAGACCCGCCGAAGAGGAAGAGAGTGGAGAGGGGCACGAAGCCTCCTGCCCAGCAGAGCACACATCTTCTCTCAATCTCCCTGACTCTTCTGGCACTCCTCACTGAAGCACCTCAGGTGGTTTTGGCATCACCTCTGTGATTCCTAGTGAGTGTGATGCTGACTAGGTGCCGTGCAAAACGGTCAGAAATCATTCTCTTCCTTCTGGAAGCTGCGTGATGGAAAACAGCCCGAGAGGAGCAGTCAGAAAGAACAAGCATATCCTCCCAACAGCAAAGTGCTCAACAAATGCATAATGCAGAGGATCAAGTACATGCCTTATATTCTGTTCATGATTGGGTATCTGTGCGGCGGTGGGGTTTTGTGCCCAAATAGGCCAGAGGAGAGGGAACTCTCAGAATGACACAAGGAGGGGCTCCTGACCACGGGCCTTATGCCCCCTTCAGAAACAGTGTGGGCTCAGACACAGCTGCTTCTGAGACAAACACAGGCTGACAGGACTGGTGGTCAGAAGGCCTGCTGATGATTTTGCTCTTGTCCTTCTCCTTTGTACATTGTATAAGAAACCAAGAGGCCACAAGATAATAAATGTGCCCCTTTATTGTAAGCTTGAGGGCCCTATAGACTCTAAACGTCTGAACACCTGTAATTGTCCTATTATAATGATCTCTTTGAAGGTCTCACCACCCCTTACTTCTCTGAGCAGCTCAACATGTTTTCTTTTGGTTCCTGTCTATGACATGTCACCTCCCCCCTGCCACTTTCGTAGACTCTACTGCTCAAAGAGTGCAGGCCTCCCACTGCTTGGCTGGGTTCCTCCTTTTCTTATAATGCCCAAATCAGAACTCATCTTCTTTGCCACCTTGCTGTTGCCCCAGCCTCTTGTGCCCCTACCCTCTACTCTCCACAGCTAGGCCTGGGCCCCAGTCAGTGCTTGGCACTTCTCCTGTGTCCTTTCAGGATTCACGGCCATTCACACAGCTTGTTTCTGGTCACAGAGCACATTCACATGCGTGGTCTTACTTGACAGCAAACCACAAAGTGAGCTGGGCGGGGGGCGGTGGGGGGGCGGCTTTAAGTCCACTTGACAGGAGGCAGCTGGGGCTCCCGGAGGTGATTTCCCAAGGCCACAGGCCCCTGTGTGTCAGAGTGGAGACTTAATCTGGGCTGTGGCCTCTAGAGCCCATGCTTTCCTCACAACAGCCTGGAGCCTGGGTCACAGCACAAGCCCATAACTTTGGCACAGCATTGTCAAGTGGATGAATAATTCTGGTAGCTGTGATCTCATTTTATTTAACAAGGATCCTGTGAGGTAAAACTAGGAAGGGTGATTTTTTTCATATGCCTTTAATTTGCCGACTCTTACGCCTTGTGATCAATGTGTCTGCTCTCATGCATGTGTACGTGTGTGTATTAAACCTGTGCATCAGAGGCTGCATGTATGTGTGGAACCGGTCCAGCTCCCTAATGTATTCTGCTTTGGAGAGCCCTTTCCGTACATTCCTTTGTCTGATCCATCTCCCAGTTCTGAGGACTAGGAGAGCAGCTAGTCTCAGAGCTGCAGTGCTGTGAACCTCAAAGATGATACACGTATTGTTGGTTCACCTGCTAAAGACAGTCCCAGGGTCACAAGAGGAGTTTGATAAATGTCGTGAATGACCCAGTCGATTCACATCCACCTTGCTCAGATGAGGAAGGCCCCCTGCCCCTATATCACTTTTAACATGGCAAGGCCTCTCCCTTTCCCTCCCTACTCGGCCACAGGGACTCGGCTGTGTCCAACAACAAGACACCCCACAGCAGCTCCATCAGCCACATCGAGTCAGTCCTGCAGCAGCTGGACGATGCCCAGGTGCAGATGGAGGAGCTGTTCCACGAGCGGAAGATCAAGCTGGACATCTTCCTGCAGCTGCGCATCTTCGAGCAGTATACCATTGAGGTAGAGGTGGGGAAGGTGGGCACTGGGAAAGGAGAGGAAGGGGAGTCAAGGAGAGTTCTGGGGCCGCTGCATACTGCCTGCTTCCTGGTCAAAGGCACTGCATCAGGGGCTGGGAAGGGAGCATTGGGCAGTACCCTATGGGAATTCGAGGGGATGGTGCATCAAGGATACATTTTTAGACTCAGCAAATTCCCAATTCACATTCTACCTTGTTCTTTTCCTCTGTCCTTCTCACCTGCTCTGCCAAGCAGAGCTTCTCTGTTTCACTTCCTGTGTGGGAATTACTTTACTGAGAAGGCTTTTGATGGGATTATTTGGACCCTTGGTACTTTGCTTCCTGAAAGACCGTGGCATTGGCTATTTGAGTTGGTGATTGGATGCTTTAGCTTCAGGAGTAGGTAGGTGTTAAAATTTGGAGGCCTCCTCAGCTGATGACTAGAGGTCAGGAGCTAGATGAAATCACAGAGCAGTCAGGAAGTCAGGAGCCATGGGGAGAAAGACCTTTTCTTCAGTTTGCTTTGTGCTTACCAAGAAAGTAAGTCTATGCTAAGGCCATCTTGGTTCAACTCATGGACTCCTCAGTTCCTTCTGGAAAGGTCAGAATCAGATGTTCTAATATATTTATATCCCCTTTGTGATGCCTATTAATAATGTCTGTTCCACATAATATCCACCTTTTATTATTTTCTACTTTGAAACAGTAACTAAAGCCAGACCAGTAGGGTTCCTGGGGTGTGAAGAGTATCCAACACCCAAGGCACTTTGTCCTTTTCAGGGATGGGAAAGGGTTAAATTAAAGAGGCACTATCTTCTCTTTGCTCCCTGCTGGTGTGGTCTGAGGGAAAGCGCTCTCCACCCATCATTTTTTAAAATTTTGTTTTGCATTCCAACCGGCTCCTCACAGTTGGGGCTTCTGGGTGTCTGGGAATGAGCTTCCCAACAATATCTGTGGAAACTTCATGAAACTGGTTTGGACGGAAATGACTTTTTTTTTTTTTTTTTAATGTTGCAATTCCCATATCCCAATCCTAGTCCCAGCCAGGACCTGAGAACTGTCCTGGCAAAAGATACTCTTCTTCAATTCTGTGAGCAACAGAGGTTATATTGAGAATCACAAATATTAAAAGGAAAGCAGTCCTGAAACAATCCTTCCTATCCCTGTCTTACAGTCTTTTTCTTCTTATAACCACACATCTACTTTTGCCTCCCTGGAAGCCACTGCAATTTCTTGCTTGAGACTACCTGTTCAAAAAGGGGCATTCTGGACAGTTTCCAGAACAAAGGAAAAGATAAGTCTTTAAATCTAGATCTTGATTATCCTTCCAGCTTATTCTATAACTTTAGGTGTATTTATGTGTACTTTTTACTTAATTTATTTTGAATCTATGCTCAAAAGGATTTCAGGTAGGAAGTAGTATTAAAACATAAGTTGTGGGGTGCCTGGCCGACTCCGTTGGAGGTGTGCGTGACTCTTGATCTCAGGGTCGTGAGTTCAAGCCCCACGTTGGGTGTAGAGATTGCTTAAAATAAATAAACTTTAAGAAAAATAAATGTATACTTAAAAATATATGTTGAAAGAACAATGAAAATGCTAGTGGAAAATTAGAGATTTGGGCAGGCAGCAGAGAGAATGTGGTGAACTTCATAAAGCTGGGGTGATGAAGGTAACAAAGAAAGGAAAGAGGGGGTGTGAGTTGTTAATCTTTGGTACTTGGGAGTGAGGCTCACTGAAATAAACAGAGTTACATATGATTGCAGTGGCGCCAGCCCCAGGCACTCCCACCATCCCTCCCCAGCTCCACTGTGCCTGCCAAAGGTGAATGTATCCGTTGGGAAATTATGTTAGCAGGTGTGGTGATTCTGCTCTTGTAGTCTCTATTTAATCTCCTCTCATTCCCTGTCCACATAAAAAACTGCTTAAGAGGAAGGAAATCATCTGAGGGTTTGGATGTTTAGGTTTTATTTCATTAGATGGCATGGTTTTGAGGTCAGGGTTGCTGGCTTAGTCGCAGAATGGGTCAGATAGCTTCACTTTGCCATGAACTGCACCCCTGACATTAGCCAGAGGAGGTAGGGGGCATCAATAGGGTGTGTTGCCTAAAGCGATTCTGGAAAATCCATTCCCACTCTTGAGAAACAATCCAGAGTATATGCCAAAATTATCCTTTAAAACAAAAAAGCAAACTATAAATCCAATACTTTAAGATTGGATCCTATTTAAATGTTGCACCAGAGGAGCTTGTTATTTCAATTATAGGATTTGAATTCTTCAGCCTTTGTATTGTATAAAAATTCTCTCCACCACCCCCCCCCCCCGCCACCCCGGCAACCCCCATATGGCACAAAAACTTGAATAGTTGATAATGTAGTAGAGCAAAAGTGAGGACACAGTATGAAGGTCTAATAAAATGAGGGAGATATGGGGCACCTGGGTGGCTCAGTCGTTAAGTGTCTGCCTTCGGCTCAGGTCATGATCCCAGGGTCTTGGGATCGAGCCCCGCATCGGGCTCCCTGCTCCGCGGGAAGCCTGCTTCTCCCTCTCCCACTCCCCCTGCTTGTGTTCCCTCTCTTGCTGTGTCTCTCTCTGTCAAATAAATAAATAAAATTAAGAAAAAAAATGAGGGAGATAAAAATAGTGATTTGGTTCAGCACCCTCTGGTTTAGGCAGTGACATCCAGGTTTTAGAAGGGGTCTTGTGCCCCATCTGGGGTGTGGCCCAAAGCTTGGGAAACGGCTGCATTTCATCTCAGATTGATATGGAAATCCTGCCAACCCTATGAAAAATTTCTGCTTCAACTCAGATTGTCAGAAGTTATTTTTGAGGGTGATGAGATTATTTCAAATACCAGCTAGTGTTTCACTGTGGGGGATGACGAGCAAACATCTAGGGAAGGGTCAGAGTGTGAAACCGAGGGCGGCTTGTATAGTGAGGGACATGTCAGAGCTGACATTAGCCAGGACAGGGGCTGTCACTGCAGAACCTTCAGCTATGGGGTCTTTCCCTCGAGGAAGGCATTTGATGGACATACTCGAAATTCCTGGGGATTACTGAAAACCAGAGCAGGCCTGCGCCCCTGACATCTGGGAATCTAAGCATGACTCCTTAACCATGTCACCGATGGCTAAGATGGGCTAATTAATTTAAAAATTAAGATAGTACAGGAGTTGCTGTGCCAGACTCCTTTTCCTCAGTGAGAATGGTGTGTATGATGCCCATAGGATAACCTGGGCTGAGGTCATAGGACACCCCCACCAAGAATGAAACTTATCCCAAATGTATAGGCAACTGCTCAAAAGCCAGGACTGCAGCTGCATTCCTGACATAACTTCTTAGCCTCCATGGAGACCAGACAGTGTGACCCATGGTGGAACATGATGTTCTGTAAAGTGTTTCCTGTGGGTTCAGCTTCCCCCTACGAAAGACATTTTATATGAAATGGTTGTGATAGCAGAGACATTTCACCAAATGTGAATAATGTTTATGTTGTGGTGGTAAGAATATGGGTGATATTTTCTCAAAGCTTCCATGCATTTCAAAGTTTTCTACAACTGACCAGAATGATCAGAAAGAAATAAAAAAAAAAAAATGTTTTTAGAAGCAAGAACGGGCCAGCAGTCTCCAAATTCTTTTGATCGTGCACTCTCTTAATAAAATATTTTTGAACTTGCAACTCCCTATCTTTGCATATATTAGTTTATAAATGGTACACATGTTCAATCACTGGCTAATAATCTCAGAACTCAGGGTGCCTGTAGGGTGAAATTCAGCTTTTTTCATTAGAAGTTGTGGTTCCATATTTCAGATCGCTTTCTTGATCATTTCTAATTATTTTTTTAGCCTGGCTTCTTGACAGATCTGATTAGATTATCATTGTTTCTTTACCCCACAAGGTGGCCAACAGAGAGTTCAAAGTTCTCTTGTGTTTTCATGCATATTATTGTCCTCAAACTGCAGTTTCTTTGCAGGAAACTTGATAAGCCATGTGTCTTTCTGTGAAGCTTAGTTAAAAGTAGATAATAGATAAATCTGTTTAACTGGGTGCATGTAAAGAGCAGTAACTTGAACTATGCTGAAAGCAAAGGGACAAAAGAGCCACAGTCGGCCCCTCTACACTGCAGGATCCCACCCTCCTGGAGGAGCCCTCTCCCACCCCACGGGCTGCCAGTTCTTGCAGTGAGGTTCCAGTGTCAGTCTATTAGTGAAAGTCTAGGGAAACACTGCATCTTTTTTATTGGTTTAATCAAATAATGTGTGCATATGATATATATGCACATACAGATACATATTTATACAGTGGGAATTTTTGTGTTTTCAGTGGATAATCTGGGGCATCCCCTGGGGTTGGCATACTCACATTATAGAGTACTAGAAATGACACCAAGAAAGATACTTTACATTAGGGACTTCATAGGGGTGCCTGGGTGGCTCAGATGGTTAAGCATCTGCCTTCAGCTCTGGTCATGATCCCAGGGTCCTGGGATCGAGCCCCACATCGGGCTCCTGGCTCAGCGGGGAGCCTGCTTCTCCCTCTCCCTCTGCCTCTCTCCCTGCTCATGCTCTCTCTCTGTATCTCTGTGTTTCAAATGAATAAATAAAATCTTTAAAAAAAAAAACATTAGGGACTTTATGAAACGTGGGCCACAGTTATGGTCTTTCTTTTAAATCTTCAACTCTATAATCACAATCAGAGTTTGTTCAGTGTACCTGCAAATTAATGTGTGATTAACCTGAGTATGGAATGGAAGAGCCAACTATAGATCTATGGGGTTTGCATTAGGACAAATTGTAGCTAGGCTGAGGCTGGGGAAAAAATAGCCTTCAAGGAGGAAAATTCTGCCTTGAGGAGAGACGGCTGATTACAATTTACTGGTGGTCTCAACTCTTCAACTGGTTGTACGTAGAGGCTTTTACTGTCTCATATTTGAAAGAGATTGCTCAGTCAGCCTTTTGCCTGATAGAAATCCAACTCGGTCAACATTTAGTGAGCACCTAATATGAA